AGCACGGCCACGAGCGCGGCGGCCCTGCGCGCCCGCATGAGGGAAGGGAGGAAGGCCGCGCCGCCTCTGCTGCCGCCCCGCGCTCCTCCGCCGCGGGATCAGGCGCCTCCCTCCTGCGGCAGGGCTGCGAGGGACCTGCCGAGGTCACCCGGGCCAGCCCCCTGCCTGGCGGCGTCGTCCCTCCCCAAACCTGCGCCGCGGGATTTTGCCATGGCAAGGAGCGCCCATAGGCATGAGGATGGGGGATGCCTTCACAGGTGATGATTCGTATTAATGGGCGCGTGCCCAGGGCTGGAAAAGGCTGGGCTCCAGTCTGTGGTCAGCGGTAGGTGTGCTGACAGACTGGAGTACTGGCACACAGGCGCTGGCTCTAAGATGTTTCGTACTCTCCGGTTAATGTTTGGCATCTTTGTTACTTTGGGAATCTTTTGAATCCACTCCTGTTGGTTTACATCACCTTCGGTAGCTTTCGGTCATACCCCGTGTTTCCCATCTTCACTTACGCACTTCACGTGGTCCTTATACTCCTTGCCCCAGTTGACTAACATTGTATTTTTTGTAACCTTGTCTGCCTATGTCCTTAGACCAACACGGCTACAACCTACACCCTTGAATAATTTTCAGGATCTCTGCAAGAGTGGGTCTTGATAGACATGAGGGACTAAGGGGAAGGGAATAATATTATCCCTTTTTACAAAAGGAAGAAGTGATTCACTATATACCTGTGTGTTGATGGCCACAAAGTTAAATATATCCATGCAGTACCAGGACCTAAAATACTTGCCCAAGATCACATGCACTGAACTGGCACTGTAGTACAGAGATACTCTGGCTTGCTTTAAATGATCTAGCTCATGTATCACTAATAGTCCTGCTGTGACAGCAGAGAATTATCCATGGGTTCACTTACCCTGCAGAGAAACAGCTTGAAACCAGCTAACTGCTCGCTCACTCTCTCCTCTGTGCTGCAATCTACACACAACTGCAGCTGGTGGGAGTCGCAGGAAACATACTCCTGGCAGTCCCAGGCCTTTGCTTTAACTATAGCAGTGTTCATCTCATGAACAGGGATGGAATACGTGTTTGCAGATGATATCAAGCTACTTCTGTCTGAATTGGCTGGTTTTATCTGGGAACAGTTATAATTTCTTTCTACAGTTCATATGCAGCAATTTCAATGTTACAGGACTTAGCCTTCTTAATATGAGAGACTGAGAGACTGATAGTATTTGCTCTTATTAGACATATTCAGACTAGAGGATCTGGAAACTGTTCTCAGTTGCTTTAATAGAATTCAGTTTTCCAAACCCCTTAGGCAGCTTCACAGTTTTTGGCTGTATTTTGTAACAACTTCAATGGGATCCATGAAACTGCTGTAAATAGCCCCGACTGAAAGAGCTGGACTGATATCAATCACCCTTATGCACTGCAGCTTTAATCTTACTGGCATCCGAAGAGCAGCCATTCCCATGTTAGCCTATTTACCAAAGGGGTCATGTTTTGCTTCTGTCATGAAAAGCTCCCTGCTTGTATTGAACAGTTTTAACCCTTCCTCTTTAACAAGTCAGAAGTGAGTGGCTCAGACAAGGGCCTGAGGCCTTATCCAGACAAAACTTGCACCATTTTAGGTAAATCTGTGGCAGTCCCTGTGTGAACGCTTGTCTGTGGGTTTAAGAGTGACTTGTGCATGCACACAAGGCAGCTCCTTCTGGCTTCAGTGTTAGAAATGACTCTGCTGTGCTGGTACCTGACTAGCAATGTAATGTTGCCACCATGAAGAATAGTGTGCAACACACACTAGGCACATGCAAGATTGAGAGGCTGAAAGTTGTTTGGTGCTTGCCTTGCCAATTTGTGGCTGAATCACATTTTTTTAGCACTTGATGCATGTGGATCAGGAAGGAGTTGGCAGGGCATGTTTTCAGGCTGGTATTCCCTGGCAGTACAGATGTGCCAGAGGTGACATAACCATAGATTCATAGATGTTAGAGTCAGAAGGGACCTCAATA